CAACAAACAACCGTGTGAGGTGCAGCAAGGGTTACCTTTTGCAGTTTGCCATCCTTATACGCCTTCTGCTCTTTAATGATGTCAGGTAAAAACTTGGAGCAATACAAAGCAACCTCTTCACCTGGAGATACGCAGTAAAAGACTATCACTAAACAAAATGATCAAATTGATAATTCATCCAAGAATATTATACAGGTGAGATGTTTTGTGAATAATGGCATCATGAGGGTGAGTAAATGACAACAAAGGAAGTGTAAATTTACGTCCGTAGAGTAGAATGCAGAAGAAATTTCAACACTTCAGCAATAAAAAAAAAGACACAAATGTTTGTCTAGAGTAATTTGTGCTTATTAGTACGGTTGAACTGGATCATCGAAGGTCAGAAGCAAAGACATTGGTTAATAGAATGGGATTAAATACATAAAGGATATTTGTGTTGTTTAACATTTAATTATTGCAGGTTTGCGTCATATTCTGAGTTGCATAATTTTTATTCATTTTGAGGAATACTGAATCTGTGTGGTTTTGTGCGTGAGATAATGCATATTCATATTTATTTTAGAACTACAGGAACATCTTCTGATTTCTCTCAACACGGGGACAGGAGAGCTGTCAGTCAATACATTGGAGAAAAAAAAGTAACTTGCGTTACTTATTTGAAAAAGTAACTCAGATATTCTCTTGTAACTTAAAAAGTAATGCGTTACTTTACTAGTTACTTGAAAAAAGTAATCTGATTACGTAACTCGCGTTACTTGTAATGCGTTACCCCCAACACTGTGTATATATATATAGGCTACCTAAAAACCCTGATATTTAACATAATTTGATCATTTAGAATGCGTATCAAATATTGTTAACTATAAGGCCTAAAAATGCTATAAATTTCAGTTTTGTTGTTGTTATGTGTTAACATATTAGCTTTAATTATTTTTTGTGCTTTGTAATGTTTTAATTTTGTAATAATTGCTGCAAAGCCCCAATATGTCAATATTTTACTTATCCCATATCTTGTAACATCATAAACTATGTTTATTTTCCACGTGCAATAACGCAAGTAGCCTATATATATATATACAGTATATATATTTACACATTTTTGAGGTGCAATCACATCTCCATCAAAGTCGATTCAAAGGTCATCACGAGGTATACAGTATAAGACTCCCATGCTGTAGGTGGAGCACTACATCAACCTCCACAGGATCTGCTTGAAGAAGTCACGCATGCAACTCAGGCTCTGTGACAGCTTTCCACCGAGAGCAGTATATTTTTGATAAGCTCTGTGGGCCATCCGTTCAAACAGCACCGGGAGATGCCGCGGTATGAGCTGTGCGTGATCCTGAAGGCGATGCAGAGGCCGGAGACCGCGGCGGTGCTGCGGCGCACGGTGGAGACGCTGCTCGAGCGCGGCGCACTGGTCAGGAGTCTGGAGAGCCTCGGCGAGCGCAGGCTGCCCTACAAGATCTCCAAACACGACTCTCGCCACACGCACGGCGGATACTTCTCCGTCGACTTCCACGCCTCGCCGAAGACCGTCAGCGAGCTGCTCGGTCACCTGGAGCGGGACATTGACGTGCTGCGCCCCACAGTTTTAAAGAAAGACACGGAGCTTTCCAAGGCGCAGTGCTGTGGGGCACAAGCTGAGAAAGCGAAGAGTGCCACATCCAGATAAATGTGAGAATCCCATTGTTTCCCTGGTCTGTTTTTACTATGAGGGTTGGGGTAGTTACTAAGTTACACTAAGTTAAAACAATGGATAAAATGCTCAAAATGAAGTAGTGTTTGGATTTAATGGAGTTAATGTGATGAACTACACGCCTATCCTAACTCGAGGGGAACTGAGATCATCACAAGTCGGTTCAAGTCATTGCAAAAGTTAGTTCTAGGTCTAGCATTGCATATTTTCAGGTGCTGCTTTTATATGCAATGCAATCTGCACTGAGGTGTTCAAATGCTTTTGGGCTCAAAGTCCCCAGTTTGGTTGGAGTTTTTGTCCTTTTTTTAGTTTTTATGAATAAGATGGTAGTTGTGCTGTCAATGTGCCATAAGTAAATTCTTGTCTTTTTTCCCTAGGACTGTGAAGATGGGCTCATCTGCTGGATCATATGAATGGACTTTCGCAACGAGATGAGCTAGTAAATGTCAGCATCCTTTTTATAGTTTATGCATTTACGGCAGCTAGTTATGTGATGTGTGCTTCTGCAAAGAACATGACCTCTTCGCAGGATCAGCATTTTTGGAGTATTTAATTTTAATATGACAAATTCTACTTCAATAATTGCATGCTCATGAATAAATAACATGAAAAAAAAAGTTGTTTATCTCAGTCTATGACAGTCATACTGTTCCACAAAAGCAACTTGCGAATAAAAAATATGATTGAAGTGTTGTAGAGGAAAGCTGTACCTTCATTGATTTATCTTCAGGAATACCGTAACATGCTGTTCTCACAACTAGAGTTCATTGTTAATAAAGTTCATCAACTTTTCCTTTTCGAGAACATGAAATAAACAGTCTCCAGAGAAAAGATGAAACGCGTCAGTTTACACACAAAAAGGGTTTAATCGATTCAAAGCCTAATTAAACAAGAAGAACAGCAGCTTCTTTTAAGATGTTTTTTTTTTGTTTGTTTGTTTTTATATGGTCTTATCTTATAATAAGAATCCCTTATTTCAATAGGTTAAAATTTAAGAGGTGTCCGAAAAAAAAAAGTCTTCCGTCTACAAATGTGTCATAAATTTGGATTTTAATGGTCAGGTTACATTTGACATACTAGACATATAGAATGCAGCCATGTGACCATTTTATAGTTTTTTTTAAAAATTATAATTATTTGGGCAAGCTGTACCTAGTCAAAATAATTTTAGATAAACGAAACATTCATATATTAATATGGAATAAAGTTAAACTCTGCAGTAGAATTATTGTTGTTGAAAACCTGATATAAATTTAGAATTGAACCACATGTAAACCAGTTCTATTATTAAGATGTTATCTTCCCTTTTTCAAGTAATGCAAAACAGTCCTCATAATAATTCATCTGTACACGGGAACAAAGAAAGAGCAGAACACACACACACAATCATTGTTATTATTATTATAACTTAATTTATTAAGTAAAAAACACACAAAGAGTAAATGTTAATAGTCAATGGTAGTTTAGTAGTTATATAATGGTATCTGGGACTCAAAGGTACTTCTAAGAATATCATGGTACAACCAGAGTGCATGTCCAAAAAACATGGTAATATGCAAATGGAAATTCAATTATTAACACGCATTGAACTTTTGTGACAATTGCAGAGCAAGTTATGATGCCATGTGGACTAGTTAACATGAATTTGAAAAAAAACTAGACTTTTAAACATTAAAAAAAACAATGCACAAAGAACAAAACAATTCATGAAATTATGATTAAAATATGATTATCATTAAATATTAGGGGCAGAATTCACCAAAAATGATTCTAATTCAGGTTTTTGAAACAGAAAACAAGCATTTGTATAATTTTGTATGTAATTGTATTATTTGTATAATAGGGGTTTGAACCCCAAACTCTATAGCTATTGTAGTTATATACACTGTAAAAAAAATTCCGTAAAATTTACGGTAAAAAACCGGCAGCTGTGGTTGCCGGAATTTTACCGTAAAAAATATGGCAGCAACGTTTTAGGTTTTACGGTTTTAATTTAAATTTACAGTTAAATACCGTAATTTCATTAACTGATATAATGTTAATATATCAACCTATTGAAGTACTGAAATCTGTTTTGTAGCTTTGTAATACACTGATAACCACCAAATGCAGGTGACGATGAACAAGCAGCTTTTAAATAATAACATATATAGAAGGTCCACACAGTGTCATTCACACAGACACTAAACACCATCATGGTGACACACATGAAACTGAAATAATGCAATAAACATTCATTTAACAACATTAGGTGTAACACTCAACCCTAATATACAAAACTGATAAGAAAAAACTAAGAAGAAACAGTTATTTCAACAAAAAAACATCAAATTTGAAATGTAACGCAGGGAATTCTGGGAATGTCAATTTACGGTTATTCACTGTAAATTATAAAGTCTTTTTCACTTCCAAAAACGGTATACTACCGTAAAATTACATGTAATGTCCAATACAGTTTTTCACCGTATATGGTAGGGGAATTTACCGTTAACCATTTAACAGGTTTTTACTGTAGCATTTTTACAGTCTTTTACCGTTAAATTCACGGTCATTTTTTACAGTGTATAAAGGAAGGTATAAACCGCATCAATACTATGTAAAACAAACACACAAAAAAATGACAAAGTTCAAACGATAAGAGCTTGATTGCGTTCTTCGACCCACACAAACAGCCTCAGCAGTGTTGCCAATTTAGCAATTGTTTTTGCTCAATTTAGCAACTTTTCAGACTACCCTAGCAACTTTTTTCTTCCAAAAGCACCTAGCAACAAATTGAGCAATTTTAAAATTGTATTTGGCTACTTCTAGCAACTTTTGATAAGCGACTCAAACAATAAAAGGCACACATTGTCCATCTAAATTTCACAAAAAGAGGAAACCAAAGATGCCCAGCAGTACACACGTCACGTGAATTAAATCCTTGCTGTTTGCAATTGTTCAATTTGATAATAATAATAATTTAATAATTGTTCATTTATGATACACCTTGTTGTAGCTGTGATTGCTGATCGGTTAAGTACACTGCAAGAAAAACATCTAGTCTAATTTTCCAGGACATTATCCCCATTGTAACCCTTTAATCCGAAACACAAAATACAATGTAAAACACTTGTAATCGTGTCGACACTTATTGTAATCGAACAAGTGTTCAATAAGTCAACGTTGTATATAAAAAGTTGTTTATATTATACGATAACATTTAAATTAACATATATATTTGACTGAGATTTGATGTGGCGACACAAGTTTGCGTCGCGATTACGTAACGACGTCACCACGCAATGACATCACAACGTCATTTAGCAACTTAAAGCAGCAAACCGACCTTCCTTTAGCGACTTCCGACAGACGCGACTCACAACACGACTCTGCGCTTCGAGAGAGACACGATGCTGCTCGCGCTGCTGTTCATCTCCACGGGTAATATCAGCCGTTCTTGTCGTTGGTGCTTTCGTTATGAGGAGTGTGTGATAGCTGCGGTTCACGGCGGAGGAAGTGTTTGGTGAACATGTCATGTAGGTTACTGACTGGCCCGATAACATGGAAATGCTGTCTTTAAATAAACAGCCAAACATAGTATTTATTCTAGTTTTAGTTTGGACAGAATACACTTCTATATTCATAGTGATGATATTAATATTTTCCCGATTTGTTCGTTAGCCATACGTCGACGTGCTGTGCTAGCAGGCTAAGTTGAGTGTTTGAAACAACAGCGTCCATAATAAGTCACGTGTTTAAAACTTGTTTTTAATGATTGGTGTATACACATGCATGTGTTTGTTGCGCTGATATTTTGGACTGGTCAGTCTAAACTGACTGAAGTCTATTATAATCATTATCTGATGGGTACATTGATTGTTTTAGTTTGAATGTATTTCCTGAACGCAATCGTCTCGTGCTTGATCGATTTAGCTGATTTCATCAACTTTATCTCTTTCTCTGATATAGGTGTCTGAATGTTGACACAGGGACTGAAACCTGTTTTTCAGAGTTTGTTTGCCCAATACAGATAAACCCAGGCTGTGTTTTAACTCATGCAGTTTTTTTGTGTGTCTGGGGTCTGATCATTGAGTTATGTAATTTGTATCCAAGTTTCTTAGTTCTTCAGAATAACGTCTCTCTTCGCTTCCAGGGATAAGATCTTTTGCTGCTCGTGTAGTTTCCACATCCTCTTCTGTGTTCCTCTTTAGTATTTGCCATTAGTCACAATTTCACTTCATATTTTAGTCATAAGGATTGTTGTTTTTGCAGAAGGTTTTGCTCATGAAAGCATAGAGGTGGTCTTTCATACTGTGGTCTATATGTGAGGTCAGGCTCAGAGCCTCTGGATTGTGAAAAATGGTTTACACACAGCGCCTTCACAACATGGCGGCAGCAACAACAATACTACAGCGAGAATAAAAGTTACGCCGCCTTTCTTTGCGTGAACATTTGGGCGGCGTTATGCAAATCTTCCCACATAGTGACGTAGGTATGTGGGGGCATGTTAGAACGAGCCGTTTTAGGTAGGCGTAGCTGACTCTTAACTTTTATAAAGAATATCTCTTTGGATTTGAGACTTTAGTCTTTGCAACTTTGCAGATCTTCACGCACCAAGAGCTTGTAACACTCCAAAGAGAAAGGACAAATTTAAATTGCATCATATGACCCCTTTAAAACCACAGAATGTCTCGCTTCTCATTGACATGCGTTTTTTTATTTTTTTTTCCCGTAATTGCAGAAGAGAAAGCTGGAAACTGTCCTAGTTTTGGCGTATTGACCGATCAGACCCTGTTCATGACTCTATAATAAAGTTTAGTGCTGTGATTGTTAGACTGTTGTTATTTTTTTTTGCTCTGGACTTATATTACTGGAATCTCTTCCGCATTTTAGGTAGTCTATGATCACACTGACAAGAACTTTTAATGTAACCAAGTGTTTTTGTTAACTCAATCATGTCCGTTTTGTACTTTTTAGCTTATTGCAGTTCACGTAAATGATCCAGTGGAATTTAAAAACCGTCATTCTCAGTTAATGAGCTCAAACATCATATACCGTTACAAGAGAATGAGAAAAATGTTGTTTCGAGTAGTTGCTGTCATTACTTTGCATGCTGTGTCAGCTACCCGTTCCCATGTTAAGTTGCCCGTTTTCTATATAACAATGATTGCTATTGTTCTCCTCTTGTATTTAGCAGAAGTGAAATGTAAGTGTTTTTAGTTATGAGACTGTTTTGATCCTACAAACCATAAAGTAAATGACCCAGATTCACAGCTAGTTCTGGACCACAGGTTTATTGTACAGAGCGTTCCAAAAATCCTTAGTATCTGCACTGTTTCCTACTTTATGCTTTTATTTATGTGGTTTCTGCTTTGGTTTTGACTCTTAATATGGATTGCTATCGAGTGGAAAAGCAGAAGTGAAACCCTGGGTGCTTTTGTTTAAAGAGTTTAGGCCTTCAGGGCTGTTTTCAAGTTTAGTTATGGCACAGTTTAGTTATGAATCGTGTGATGTTGACTCATTGGTGGAAAAATCAGTATTACTTTGTCATAATTCATTACAGTAAAATTCAGTGCCAGTCAGCTGGGTTTTGTGTCGACTTGTCTTTTGTACAGTCCGCTGCGTAGGCTGATGCTGAGCTGGTGGAAACAGACTCTGGATCATAAGACTGATCAAGCATGTAGTTTTTGTTCCTTGCATATGTTGGATGATATTGCTGACAAATTAGGAATAATTCTTCAAAAATGTCCAAAACTGCCAGCCTTTTTGTGAAAATATAGTCTCTTTATTAGCAGCTCTAGGCAGGTTTAACTGTTCATTTCATGGGGAATTTTAAAGAAAATAAACATTGTACTTGGTGGAAACAATATTAACTGGCTCTCAATGTTTAGGGACTTTCCTCTCTCTGTCTGTCTGTCTCTCTCTCTCTCTCTCTCTCTCTCTCTCTCTCTCCCTCTCCCTTTTCAGTCTATAAAGCAAAGCAGCTTTGATCTGCCATCTTAATCGTCTCAATAACAGTTCTGTGGTAAATCTGATTGTGAAAGTCTAAAGTATTTTGTTTTTATGTCTTGGCAGCTATGATGATTTGCTTTTCAAATGTAACTTTTGATTAGAATTCAATGGGGGAACTTGTGATATTATTTATCATGTGTTTACTACAGTGGTTGTAGGTATTGGTCACGAATAACACAAAAGACACTTGAGTAACCGGTTACTGGTCACCTGGTTGTAGTATGTGGAAAATTGAAAGAAGGTGATTGAGTAGATGCTGCTTCCTTTTTCAGTGGCTATAATACAAATTAAATATAGTAAATGGTAATGTGTAACTTTTATTTAAAATGAGTCATGTGAAGTGTCAGTTCTTGGCAGGTTAAACCGATAAGAAATCATGACAAAGATGGTACTAAAAGAGGTCCATCTCTGTGTAATTGCTGACTTGACTAGGCCATCACGTGACTGTGTGATAATTGTGGCAGTTCTATACATATCTAATCTATTTTCTCTTGTTTCTTGCTAGCTGTGGCGAGTCCCCTGTTGGGTACGGAGCAGTGTGCTCGCGGTCCCCCCTACTGGTGCCAGAACGTTAAGACTGCTTCCCTTTGTGGTGCCGTCCAGCACTGCCAACAGAGTGTGTGGAACAAGCCTCAGATGGTGCGCTGACCTGATTCTCAGAAGTGCTTTTGTATGCCAGCGTATAATTCATAAGCTCTAAGTATATAAAACCTCATTTTTTTGCAGAAATCTGTGCCATGTGATCTGTGCAAAGAGGTGTTAGTGGTGGTGGAGCAGCTTTTGAAGGACAACGCCACAGAGGTATGCTAACATGATAACAGCACTGAAGATTTGAGTACTGTTTATGCGAGTTCAAGGTCTAAATACTTGTGCTGAATCTAGGGCGAACTCCTTGGATACATGGAGAAAGCCTGTCAGCTGATCCCTGATGAGGGCATGGCTGACCAGTGCAAGGAGATTGTGGACAACTACTTCCCCGTTCTCATGGACATCATCCAAGGAGAGCTGGTGAGTACTTCCTTCCCTTCCCTTTTAACTAATTGAGTAACATAATTCCCCTTTTAGTTGGTGGTAGTTTGTGATCAAAACAGTGTTGAACACCCACCATGTACCAAACACAAGCTCTGGAGCAGAAAGCCAAACATGCTGTTCCAAACTTAATGAACAATTTGCAATGTTTTCAATGTAGTTTTTTTTGTTTTAGTTCTCTCTAGTATTTCCTACTACAGGCGTGTATCAGTGGGCGGGGCTAAAGTGGCAGTACTGTAGAAGCAGGCGTTGTGATCTCCTCCTGCGGAGGCGGTGCTTATCCACACAATTACGTCATAAAGTGTTACATAACAAAATGAGCCGTTTTCTGATCTTGGTTTCAATAAAAGCTGTTTTTAAACTAATGAGAGAGTTTTGAAACTTACAGGATGTTTTTATAGTACATTGACCTGTGATAAGTCAAAAGATCAAGAAAAATGTTAATTCTCAGTTCATGACCGCTTAAAAGCTTTAGGCCCAATCCCAATTCTATTTTATACCCCTTTCCCTACCCCTCCGCCTACCTCTTTCCCCTTGTCCCTTGAAACAGAGTGTCAAGGGGTAGGGGTGAAAATATTCCCCTAAGAATTGGGACACTGCTACTATGCCGTCACGCGTCGTCTAGCTCCTACAATACACACACCTATGCTGGTGTGTGCATTAGAGCCTTTAATTACCGTTCTATATTAATGCAGTGCTTTCTCTCTCTCTCTCTCTCTCTCTCTCTCTCACACACACACACATATTAGAGATCGCGCAGCTCTCACACACACACACATATTAGAGATCGCGCAGCTCACACACACACAGGAGCAAAGAAACTTGTCAACGCTGCCCCACGACTTTTATTAATAACAGTTTAAATACTGAATCGCTACGTTATATTTTCCAGCGACGAGAGGATAAAGTTGTTTTTTTTTTGTTTTTTTTTAGTAAACTCCCTCTAAAAAGAGAAACGCGCACACACGCAACTTTAATCTCTCTCTCTCGAATTGGCAATATTTCAGAAAAGGGTTTAGCGATTTATAATTATTGGGGTACTAGCCCTCCTCAGTGTCTATGGTGGTTATTATCGCCCTGATCAGACATGAAAATATGTTGTGGCACTATCGTGCAGTCAGTAATGATATGACGTTAGCAAACTTAAACGATTTTTTTTGCAAACATTTCTTTGAGTAACATGACCGTAAATATGAACTCACGATTGAATGTAACATAAAACAAATGATTACTTTTCATTAAAATCTTTATTAATGCCAAAAATTCTTACATTTGTGTATTTTTGTTCGCTCGGGCAGCCATGTTGCCGCTGAGATAATTCATACCCCTTCGTTTGAAGTGTGGTCCCGAAAAATCTTCGTTTGAAGGGATATCTGGCCCTTCCCCTTACCCCTACCCCTCCAACCAAAAGAGAATACCCCTACCCCTTCACGTGAACGCGCGAAAGGGGAAGGGCTAAGGCGTAGAATTGGGAATGGGCCTTAGTCTGACCAGTGCTGCTTAGACGGTTAGCTATCCACAAAGCAGCCTTTGTGTAATAGGCTCTTCCGTCCCATAGGACCTCATCTGTCATTCAAAGCATGTCACAGTTCTCTTTAAAGAACTGAAGCAGTGTATTCAGCTGCAGATCCTATTTGTGTTTACATCATGATTTACAATGCTTCTGTGTTCCCTTCATCTCGCAGGATGACCCTGGTGTGGTGTGCGGTGGTATGGGCCTGTGTGTGTCCCAGCAGTCAGCTCTGGCTAAAGCTCAGCTCATGTCCAATGTGATCCCTCAAGTGGACCTGAACCAGCGTGTCAACCCCTTCCTGCTCAACATCCCTCAGCTGCTCTACCCCCAAGAGAAAACCAAGGAGACCCCCAAACAGGTGAAGCTGTCACACACCTGTATGTTTTAATGAAAAAAGCCATGGAGACTCCAATTGTTCAACTTGATGAATGTTATTATAGTGTCACCAATTACATTTGTGTTGCTGATTAAAACATTTACAATTAATCTCATCCTGTACGTTTACTAACTGATTGGTGTTCTCTTCTGTCCGCAGACGGGTGGAGATGTGTGCCGGGACTGTGTTACGTTCATTTCGGACACTCAGGAGGAAGCCAAAGCCAATTCCTCATTTATCAACACTCTACTCGCTCGGTTGGAGAGCCAGTGTGAGCTTCTGGGACCTGGCATGTCTGATATGGTGAGAACACGAGAGACAGGTTTACTGGGTTCGGTGCTCAAAGTAAAGATGGTGTGCATTGCATGTGTGGGACATTTTTGGTGGTCTTATCTCTCATTTCTCATTTCACAGTGCAAGGAGTACATCAGCCAGTACGGACCACTGGTCTTTCAACAGCTTATGTCTATGGTAAGTGATTTTAAATCTTTCTTAAATGTCATTTGTGCCAGCATTTCAGCTGTTTCTTTCATTCATCCATCCTCCATTACCAAAATGGGTGCTTAAGTTCCCCTCCTCGTGGCACAACAAAGTTTTAAAAGGGTCATATGAGGAATCAAAATGTTAATGTACTGTATCATATTGTGTTATATAAATTTAAGAACTCAACTTCCTCCCTAGTTTAAAAAAAAAAAAAAGAAAAAGGTGATTTTACACTTGTGAGCTTTGGAATGATGCCCATATAAAGACTTTAGCAGTGTAAGTTTGATGTTCAGAAATGGGGTCCACCCAGTCACTGAGGAGGAAGTAGAGTAAATATAGCTAACCTTTGGTTCTGGTATTTTGGAATAAAAGTGAAAAGTGAGTAAGGCTGAGGGGTGGTTTAAAAACTATTGGGTTTGTTCAAGTCAACAACTAAAGATGCAGCTCAGCACTGGATCTCATTTGACATGCAAAGAGGAGATTTGCATTAAAGACAGCAGCAAAAACATTAAAATATGACCCCTTTAATATGGAGAGCTTGTTGCAAATTTTGTCATTCAAGTGAACAAAGCTGCTTTTGTTCCCTTTCCTGTTAAGACACACTGCCTGTCTTCCAGCTTAAAGGGATAGTTCAGCCAAAAATGAAAATTCTGTCATTAATTCCTCACCCTCACGTCGTTCCAAAGCAGTAAGACCTTCATTCATCTTTGAAACACAAATTAAGATATTTCTGATGAAATCCGAGAGCTTTCTGATGCTGCATAGACCACAATGCAACTGACACGTTCAAGGCCCAGAAAGGTACTAAAGACAACGTTAAAATAGTCCATGTGACATCAGTGGATCAAGCGTAATTTTATGAAGCTACGAGAATACTTTTTGTGTGCAAAGAAAACAAAAATAATATTCAACCATTTCTTCCCTCCCACGTCAGACTTTGATGTGCGTTCACAAGAGTGCCACGACACGTGGTACTCATGAATGTGCAGCAGAGACTGACACAAAAGAGAAGAATTGTTAAAGTCGTTATTTTTGTTTTCTTTGCGCACAAAACGTATTCTCTATTAGCTTCATAAAATTACGGTTGAACCACTGATGTCACATGGACTGTTTTACCGATGTCCTCACTACCTTTCTGTGCTTTGAACGTGACAGTTGTGTTGTTGTCTATGCAGCGTCAGAAAGCTCTCAGATTTCATCAAAAATATCTTAATTTTGTGTTCTAAAGGTGAAGGAAGGTCTTACTGCTTTGGAACGACGTGAGGGTGAGGAATTAATGACAGAATTTTCATTTTTGGGTGAACTATCCCTTTAATCCTCAATTCTAATCACTTGTCTTTTGTTTTTGTTTTTTTCCAATTCTTTATTCCCACCTTCATTTTCTTTCACTCTTTATCTCTGTCTCTCCTCTTGTGGTTTTGTTTGCTCTGGTCTTCAGGAGCAGGTAGGTTTCTCTGAGCTGCTAGTCACATTCTAGCTTGTGTCTTTTAATCTGTCTGTCATGTGGCTAATCACCTGTGCTCTTTTCTAATCTAACGCTGACCGTTGCTAATCTGTGCTGTTGTTAGACTAGCCACTCACCCACTTTTAAAATAGCCCTAACCCTGAGGTTTTCATGTTTGTGTAGATGTAGTACCAGACTGATCCTTTATCATAACCTCCATCACCTATAATATACTATATGGGTTGGAACTATGCAGTGTTGGGTGTAACGCATTACTGTAATTAAATTACTTATCCACTGAAAAAGTAAAGTAAGGGATTACTGTTAATTTTTAGGTCATTTAATTACAGTTACTTATAAAGTACTAGCGTTACATACTGTAAATATTTTCAACAGTCAATATTGAATTTGAAATCTAAATTTAGTCTAAAGATAGATATGAATGCAGCATCTTTAACCCTCTGCGCACCGGCGCGTGCACTCAGTTTTTCCTGATTCACAGAGAAACCTTAAATACTCAGATAAGTCTAAAATCAATCGAATCTAAAAAGGGCCTACTTTTATTTGTGTACACTGACAATAACAACAAAACATTGTGCTTTTGTAAAATAAACAAAACAAACAGGGTGCGCTTTCTGCCGTCTTGGTCTCCGTGAGCAACTTTCTACGCATCACAAACTCAGCGAATACTTGACACAGAGACATGAGAAATATGTCTATAGAAAGCTTGAAGTGTCTACTTTTAAATGAACTAATTCAAAACGAATATTATCTGATTATGTAATCTGTATGAAACTAAAGTGAGGTACAGTCTTTCCCGTATCTGAACGCTCCACGTGTCTACTTTTAAATGAACGAATTCAAATCGAAAACGGATATTCTCTGATTATGTAATCTGTATGAAACTAAAGCGAGGTACAGTCTTTCCCTTATCTGAGCTCATATGCAGTCACCTGCACGCAAACGCCCTCACCTAGATACAAAAAATTGATAAAAAAAAAAATCAAGATTCATCGTTTTTGAAAGAAGACCTGCTATGAAGAATAAGCAGGAATTTACCTCGGAAGAACAGCGCGATCTGACGCTGAGATAATTTCTGTAATTTATTCTTACCTACATTAGTTAATGTGTTATTTTTACATAAACCTGTACGTATTTTACCAGTTGGGCTTTTCCTGAACATCTCGCCAAACTGAAATGTATTTAACTTTTCTTAAGATTTTTTTGTTGTTCAGATATTTTGCAGAGTATTTCTATTTGTTAACCAAAGAAGGTTACTTTTTTTTTTTTTTTTTTTTATAAAGTATTAGTTGTTTTAAAGCTAAAGGGCTAAACTATTCTATGTTTGGCTCAAACTGAAAGAATAAAGAGTTTAATTTCTATTGTCTATGCTTTAAGGTTTATAGGGATTTTAAGATTTAATTAGCAATTTGAATAATTAAGTTACTTATTGAGTAACTAAATTACTTTTCAGACATGGCAATTAGTAAAGTAATTTAAATCCAATATTGATAATGTCATTAATTACTTTTTGAAAGTAACTTACCCAACACTGGCACCATGTACTGGTTTTTATTCAGTAACCAGCCTCATTCAACAACAAAATAACAAGAGGGTATTTAAGAAAGCAGGGTTAAACCTGCTGTCTCACAAACCCCAAACTCTTGGTTGATTTAACCCAAACCGTTCTTACTGGTAAAAATGGCTGGGAGTAAGTTCACTCGGCTCACTCAACTTCCAGGAACACACAAAGACATTGCAACAGAGTGACAAATCCTGGAGTAACCTGGAAATGGATGCTAAGCACGCCATGCTAAAATTAGTGTGAAAAAGTTATTGATTAATAATAATAGTGCTTAATAATAATAATAGTAAAACTGGAGTCTCATCAATAGGGTTAAACTGCTGTGGCTGTTTTTGGAACCAGAATGTGTGGTTATACTTTTACTTATCCGCAAACTTGTTGCAAAAAACACCACTTTCCATTGTGTTCTCTTGCTGCTCTCACAGAACAAAACATTGTGTGATCAGTGTGTTTGTACTGTAACCAAAGTACTCTTGAGCTGGTTCTTCTGAATTAATGGGTCAAAAGACTCCCTTTTTGGGTTTGAATCGGTCTTTAATTGACTCCCTCCAATAGAATTTTAGGTTTGTGTCCAAGTACTCAAAGAATCTTTAAGGAACCGATTAATCATCATTTCGAATTGCAACAAAATCTTTAACCTCCATCCCTACCTGAGAGCTGATATTCAAACACATTTTCATTTGAACATGTGGTTGTTATAAAGTGTTGAATTGGATAAGTTGCTCTATTAATTGAACCACTAGCTTTTACCATTCATCAGATCATACTTGCACTTCTTGTGCTTGCATGCATGGCAGCCGTCAGACTGGCAGGGTGATATGGGATACTGCGGGACTGAGGTGGAGCGGCATCATGGGTAATCAGTTAGTCAGAGAGGTGTTACACATTGGATGCTGCATGACGTCATCCAGGAAGATGGTGCATGAATGTATTAGTCAGTGCATGTCTGAAATTCTGCTCATCCTGTCTTTCTCTTGTGTAACTGGTGACGTGTTACTGAATGTGTCCTTGCCTCCTCAATCCCTCTGTAGCAAGCCAAGGACATCTGCTCTCGTGCTGGATTCTGCCCCCCTCAGAAGTCTGTGCGCATGGCGTTGCTGATGCCTGCCAAATCAATCCCTGCTGTCAAGATGTTCCCTGCAACCAAACTTGAAACGCCTGTCAAAACCAAGCCTGCTAAGGTACAATAGCATATAACTTCTGTTGTTTTTATCTAGATTATGAATCTGTGAATTTGGTAGTTTAACACTTTTTTTGAGCATTTAAAACCCCCCCCCCCCAACTGATCTGTTAGATAACTTTACTTTCAACCTCTGTTTTGACAATGTCAATTAATTTAATGACTCAACTGTTGTCAGCTGTTATGGGCTGTAAATAACATTCACATTCAAATTAAACTCGAGTTGAGAAGGTGTGTAAAAATGCAGGATGTTTCCTTCATGCACGCGTGTCTGTTTTGATAGAATCTGGTGCAAATACGCGACAGTCCTCAGTGTGCCATCTGTGAGTTTGTGATGAAGGAAGTTGAGGAAATGATTCAGGATCACACATCTGAGGTATGAAGCCACATGTCAAATAACCGATTCTCCATTGATTGTCAGTGTTCATAAACTGTAATGACGAGTAGAATCGGTAGACGTATGTGCAGATTTCCATAAACGATTAGATATTAAGATTGATTGAAGCCAGCGAGACAAACATAGCAGCAGGTGGGACTGCTGGAAAAAGGCCTTCTCCATTCAGAGAAGAGAAAGCAGATAAATATGAAAGGATAGTGCATACATCCTGGTGTTTCCAGTCAGCAAACAATAGCCTGCATTGGATTTTCTCTTTTTAGTCAAACCATAATATTCACCATCAATATGCAGTTCAGAAATGGCTTCACATTATGAAATACTTGAGTTAAAAACAATCCGTATTTCAATATTTATGGTTCCGATAGTAAGCTCTGATTGGATGAGCCACATTGTGTTTTGTGTTTTTATCGCTGTCAGATTTTTCTGGAGAACTTGATGTGAATTTGCATCCTTATAAATGTCCTGTTAATGGTGTGCCGACACTGTTGTGGTTTTTTTAGGAAGAGATTGTGCAGGCTGTGGAGAAAGTTTGCAACATTTTACCCTCCACACTCAAGGCTCAGTGCAAGGACCTGATTGAGACCTACGGCCAGGCCATCATTGAACTGCTCATGCAGGAGGCCGATCCCAAAACCATCTGCTCTTTCCTCGCACTCTGCAATGGGGTCAGCCATGTCTGTAAGTGCTGATAATACATTTGTTTTCAGTATAATATTCCCTTTGTTTCTCTTTTTTTAGATGTGAGAGATTAATTTTATCGCTTTATTGTTGCAGCTGTAATGGACAAGCAACGATTTGAGGCGGGCGGCTTCTGTGACGTGTGTAAGATGGCAGTGCGTTATGTGGACGGGATCCTAGAGCAGAACGCCACTCAGGCGGAGATCGAGGACGCTGTGATGAAGGTCTGCAACTTCTTGCCTGATGCTGTCAGAGACGAGGTAGGTCACGCTTGCAGTAAACGGACACGCATACTTCATTCTTTTAATACGTCCAACAACAGAACAAATGCAACAAGAAAACTTTTACTGTGCTGTTGTCCAGCAACATGCAGTGTGAGATTTTGATTTGCTATGAAATTTGGGTTGCATTATAGTACATTTAGGAAGGAAACATGCATCAGCCATTTTCCCATTCTTGTAATGAGACAAAAGAGAAGCTTTAAAGGGTTAGTTCACCCAAAAATGAAAATTAAGCTGCGTTTTACTCCCCCCTCGAGGCATCCTAGGTGTACATGACTTTCTTTTTTCAGACGAATCCAGTCGGAGTTATATTAAAAATTGTCTTTGATCGTTCAAGCTGTTTAATGCCACTCAGCGGGTGTTGCAGTGCTTCAGTCCAAAAGAACTTAAATAAAAATCGCCCATCCATAAAAAAAATAAAAAATAAATAAGAAGTCTCACACGGCTCCAGGGGGTGAACAAAGGCCTTCTGTAGAGAATCGATGCGGTTTTGTAAGAAAAATATCCATATTCAAAACATAATAATCACTTTAATGTAGCTTGCGCTCACTGTCTCTCTGTCGCTCTTTGAAGCTATATTTTATTTGGTTAAATTCTTAACAATTGTTTTGATTTATTATTATTTTAAAAAGTAGCCTGCTTATATAATTGAATAAAAATGCACAAAATAAATTTGATACAATTTTGAAGCATCGTGATATCGAATCGTGAAACCAGTGACGATTCGCACCCCTAATAAGTGTGTGTGTGTGTGTCTAACCGTGCTCTTCTTCCTGCAGTGTCACCAGCTCATTGAGCAGTATGAGCCTCTGCTGGTACAGCTGCTGCTCCAGACGCTCGACCCGGACTTTGTCTGCATGGTAAGATTTGCCCTCCGCTCTCCAGCTCAAATCATGTGATAAGTGAGCCCTGACTGAGTTTGTTGGGGGTTTTTGTGCGTACAGAAGCTGGGAGCATGTCCCGAGGCAGTGCAGAAGCTGCTGGGATTGGAGCAGTGCAGCTGGGGGCCAGCATACTGGTGTAAGAACGTGGAGACCGCTTCTCGCTGTAACGTGAGTATTGCTTGCAACTTTTTATGTTTTGAGTGTAAAATGTTATCTTGCACATCAGAAACCGGCTGTGATGTGAATGAAGCTTCTGTGTTTGTGTGTTGTAGGCCTTGGATCACTGCAGGCGTCACGTGTGGAGCTAAAGGATGAGCGGAGCGTTCCACAACAATCTTAGGAAACTAAAGGAGAAATGCTGTAGAGCTGCTTTCCTGTTTTGAAATCAATACTTGGAGTTTCTTTTAAAAAGTGACATTTGAAATTGAACTGTCACAGCTAATTTAACCGCCTTGTTTCTGTGGCAAGAAAGCTTTTACTGAAAGGACATGTATTTTGAGGGGGCAGGGGTTTGGAGAGAGATGAATGGCATACATGGGGAAATGCACTGAAACTGGATTTTTTTTTTTTGTGCTATTTTGCAGACTTTTGTTTTTAAAATGAAAGTTCTTTTAGTTGTTTCTTCATATGAGTATATATGGAAATAGATTGTGCCTTTATCAGAAAAGGGGGTCTGAAACCCCTGAGAATGAAATGCTTTGGATGCTCTAAAATCCCTGCTTCCCTCTTTAACTGTGCAAATGCACCTGCAAGGCCAGTGATTTAAATCATAGTTTTTAATGGGTGACACTTTTGGTCCTAATTCAAGTAAATGATCTTTATAATTGTCATTTTGTGTTAGTTAATAAGCTGAAGGAGACGAGATGTTGACATTCTTCATTTGATCCCACTAACTGTTGCCCTTCACTGATTGATCCGTCACTGCTTCCTAAATGTCAGATTTTATCCTTGTGCTTGACACTGTTCAGACTGAAAGCTTTTGTTTTTTAAAAATGAAAATAAAACCAACTTCAACCCCATTCTCTGTGGTTCCTTTGTTTTGAAACCCTTTTTTGTCAGTAGATCAGCTCTGGAAGTAAAAGAAAACCACTTGATTTGTTATTATTTGTAAAGTTAAGCAAGAAATTAATTTTAAAACGTCTTTCTGGTGATGTAAGCTGGACTTTTCCAATCATTTAGTCTTAGCTTAAAAAGCCACCTTTCTTAAGGTGCAGTCTGTTAAGGTGTTTACTGTTGCTCTGTGAAATTTCTAAATCTGCTCATTTCAATAGGAGCCCTTAAGATCAGGAGTTTTGTGTGACAGTGAGAAATCCTCCAATGCTGATTTCGTTAGTGTTTAAGTCGGTTGCCTGAATTTTCTACGTTTAATATGGAGGCAGATCTCAGTTTTCTGCTGGAGTACAACCTCCATGTCTCGATGTATAAAACCTTAATTCCTACATTTAAAAGGTTTATTTTTAAGTGTATTGTAATTGTATTTTAATTACTCATGGCTGGGTGGAAAGTGTATTTTACTTTTTATGCCAATAGTAAGGTCTACTAATTTTGCCACTTTGGCAATAGATAAAACAAAATACAATTTGGCTTTAAAGGAACACTCCACTTTTTTTTTTTTTTTTTTGAAAATAGGTTCATTTTCCAACTCCCCTAGAGTTAAACAGTCGCGTTTTACCATTTTTGAATCCATTCAGCCGATCTCTGGGTCTGGCGGTAGCACTTTTAGCTGTAGCTTAGCATAGATCATTGAATCGGGTTAGACCGTTAGCAATATATAGTTTCTATATTATTCCTATTTAAAACTTGACTCTTCTGTAGTTACATTGTGTACTAAGACCGTCGGAAAATGAAAAGTTGCGATTGATATTACGCGGCGCCTGAAAATAGGCTAACTTCCGTCAACATAACCGTGACCACCTGCTTTGCACAGGGAGCTTGCTGGGGACTATTTTCAGGCGTTGTGTAATATCATTGCGCCTGCTGCACCCATGGTACGGCAGCAAAGTTCCTTGATTATTACGCCAGAATGAGAGTATAGTTCCTAGTCATACCGGCCTAGAAAATCGCAACTTTTAATTTTCCGACGGTCTTAGTACACGATGTAACTACAGAAGAGTCAAGTTTTAAATGGGAAAAACATTGAAACTTTTTGGTCATTTTTGAGCGAGATGCTAACGGTCTAATCAGATTCAATGATCTATGCTAAGCTACAGCTAAAAGTGCTACCGCCAGACCCGGAGATCGGCTGAATGGATTCGAAAACGGTAAAACTCAACTGTTTAACTCTAGGGGAGTTGGAAAATGAGCCTATTTTCAAAAATAGTGGAGTGTTCCTTTAAGGGAATTTGCCAAACCAATCAAAATAAAAGCACATGTGAGACATACATTTTTTTTCTTTTTTAATCATTCACAGCATCTGTATTTGGTTTACAACTTTTATATAAAATTAAACATTTACAAAGTTCCAAGCAATTTTATACTTCATGTCACAGGTAGTTTTGGAGGTAGCAGGTCTAAAGAAACTGAGGTAGCGAGTTGTGGATTCTGTGTGTGGCTGACACATTTCACTGTACATGTGTGATTTCCTGATTTCAGGGTTCAAAATGTAAAAAACAAGTTAGTGACACATTACACAACCAGTGTCACTCTTTCACTTCCAGCGATTAATCCGACGCAGCTGCACATATGCAAGAATCAGACACACGCACATAATGCCTGTCAGAGCTACCTGGTTCTGCCAAAATCCCCAAGTGCTGTGGTCGATCTCTTGATGATCCAGGTACATGTCACCTCTCACACTGCTAGTAAACTAAACTCTGTTAGTTCTGTTTTTCCAGTAGGTGGCACCACCGAGTGTGAGTGAGTCTTACCTGGTGTAGTTACTAGTAAAGACTTGATCTTTTAGTTCATTGATGGCAAGTGCCTGAAGAGAGACACTTTGGTTGGATTACTGCTGAAATGCAAACAAAAAGACTGTCTTGATCGGATTGTAATGGGTTTTATGCTCTTACATTGTAGCCATATCGGAATATACTGGCCCACTTCAGCCAAGACATCCAGCTCAGCATTGAATTCAGGTTAACTAGGAAACCTCCAAACACCTGGGAAGACACAGGACAGGAAAACCTGTGAGATTAAATCATGCTATGTCCCAAAAATAAACATGACCTTCGTCTCATTAAAGGGCTAGCTCACCCAAAAATTAGAATTCTGTCATTAATTCCTCACCCTCATGTCGTTCCAAACTTGTAACACTTTCGTTCATCTTCAGAACACAAATTAAGATATTTCTGATGAAATCCGAGAGCTTTCGGACTCCGATAAGACAGCAACGCAACTGACACGTTCAAAGCCCAGAAAGGTAGTAAGGACATCGGTAAAACATTCCATGTGAGAGCAGTGGTTCAACCGTAATGTCATGAAGCTACAAGAATACTTTTTGTGCGCAAAGAAAACAAAAAAAGCGACTTTATTCGACAATAAAGTATTCTTGTAGCTTCATAAAATTACGCTTGAACCACTGATGTCGCATGGACTATTTTAACGTCGTCCTTACTATCTTTCTGGGCCTTGAACGTGTCAGTTGTGTTGCTGTCTATGCAGCGTCAATGACATGTCACAACATGAGACAGTTTGTGATATTTATGGAAATTTGGGTAAATGTCATGCTGCCATCGTGCATCGAAGTCTGAAGCAGGAGAGAAGAAATTGTTGAATAAAGTCATTATTTTGTTTTTTGTTTTTTTGCGCACAAAACGTATTCTCGTAGCTTCATAACATTACGATTGAACCATTGATGTCACATGGACTATTTTAACAATTTGTCCTTACTACCTTTCTGGACCTTGAACGTGGTAGTTGTGTTGCTGTCTATGCAGCGTCAGAAAGCTCTCGGATTTCATCAGAAATATCTTAGTTTGTGTTCTGAAAATGAACGAAAGTGTAACGGGTTTGCAACGACATGAGGGTGAGGAATTAATGACAGAATTTTCATTTTTGGGTGAACTATGCCTTTAATTGCTGTTTACCTCATACAACTGGAATCTAAGGTCATGCTAACAGCTGGTGCGTTAAAAAAACAGTGAACCGAACCAATTAGAAAATGCAAACAATCTACATGTCTGTAAATCTATCGTGTTTGGCTAAACTCACCATCATTAAGACATAAGGCAGCGCGATGAGGATGTTAGCCATGGCGAAGGAGCCCACGCTGGCACTGACCAGGAAGGCCAAGCTCACCGCTGACAGACTGACCATACTCATGGTCAAACAGTACAGGAAGAAGGCCTCCACGCCAGGCTTCAGACCTGAGATGAAGCTCATTCAAACAGTGTAATGTTACAGGTACAGCTAAAAAACAAAGCAAAGGGCTGTAAACTGTTATTAATGTGATTTATGTTTATATGTGTCATCTGTGACATAATAACAATGAGCAGCTGCCACCTAATCTTTTTCATTCTGGCCACTTTTGTCAATATGGACAGTACCGAAATGGCAACACCCAGTGACCCTCGTTCACTTTTCCTTACATTACTCCACTAATAATGTAACAGTGACTGAAAACATTTCCATTGCTTCATTTGCCAGCTTGGATGTTTTCACTGATCTTGTCACAGTGCACTATGGGACTGTCTTTGTGGAGAAGGATACACACAAGGCCTCCTAAAATATTCCCCAAGAAGGTATTTTAGAAGATAGTGACACTACTCACCCATCATGAAGTACGGGATGGCAGAAAAGATGAAGACGGGGAGGATGCGGTTTGGTATGAGGTCGGCAAACACTTTGGACAGGAAGTAGACAGAGGTGCGGTAGAAACCACTCGAGTTCTCATGGCTGCAGGTGAGAGGAACATGTGATGATGGTCTTTGTCTAACTGGAATAATAGTTAGGAGAGCTAACGCTTGGATGTTGACTCACATGAAGAGCACTCTCTCGCTGATGAAGAGCTCCACCGCAGACAGATTGCCAAACACCATGTTGATGACCAGAAAAAAGAAAGCTCCCGTTCTGAAGAGAGACAACAAATGCAACGTTTCACAATAACTGCTAGAACTTAAACACAGGTGCAATAGGTACAATCCTTATGTGTATAAAAAGAATTGAGCTTGAATTATTGATTTATTAATTATATTATTTATTAACACAATAAAGTAATTGTATCATATTGGATACATGACTTTCTAAGGCCTCCAAAGTATACATCCAAATCTGCTTATGCTTGGTTCAGGGATCAGACATAGGATGTACTGTTCAGTGTCCAGATTTAACTCTCATTGAAAATATATGGTTGAATTTGAAGAAAGCAGTGGCAAGACTGTCAGTGATCTGAAAGCTTTTTCAGGCGAGGAATGGGCCATTCGTCAGGCTTTTACAGGGTTCATTTTTCTGACCTCATTTTCTATGTACAGTACATTCCTTAATTTCCGCACCATGAATTTAAACTCTTAAATTGTGGCAGAAAGGTCATTTTGGACCCGATGCAATCTAGCCGGTGCTCACCTGTTCTGAAGAGCCTCTGGTAAAGTGTGTGGGATCTGGTAGTAGATCAGTCCCACTAAAATACCAAAGAAAATGTTGAGGAAGAGTTGGGCGTAGGATGTCTGAGGATTCCTCAAGATGTTTCTTACGGTACGGCCACTCACCAGCATGAGCTGCAACATGGACATACACTCATCACCCACGTACAGAGGTCATCTATTGATTTTATTCCTGGTTATCTACCTGATGAGTCAACACAAGCTTAGCTAAACCATTGCTTCTACATACCTGGTAACAGAAAGGTGTGGCGTAACCGACCCTGTCACCTTTAGTGACCTCAAGCCCATCTGAAATCTGACTGAGTCTGTCTTTTACTTTGAGGAAATGAGGGGACTGTCTGTAAATGACCGCCAGAGGGTTCTCATTTTCCTCCATCTCCTCACTGCTGCTACACTTGTCTAAAAACACACCAAACACAGACGGTTAGCTGATCACAGAGTAGTCAAAACTTTAGTTTTGACCAAACT